TGTCATAAGTTGTAACTTTGTAAGATTATTTTGCTGTTTCTTTCTGTACTGAAATCAAAGTAATATATCTTAAAAAATACAATTTTTAACAAATAGATCAATTATTTGAATTGATTAATGCCATTAGGTACTCAATAATAAAATTAATGAATTATATGATTATTTGTATAAATATGATTAATATTTCTACTATAAAAAATGTTAAATAATAATAAAATAGAATTATGCTAATACAATTCAGTATTGACATTTTACTACTAGGACAATAATTCAATACCTAATATTGTATTTACATTATTAAATTATTTATTCAAAAATATTGTTTGTATTTCATTTAATGAAAAAAACATCTACAAATGATTACATAATAAAAAAATGTAAGCCACGTGCCACATTAATAAATTCATTGTGATTAACAAAAATGTCGTTCATCGTTTAAACTCGTTGTTGGTAAGTACCCTGCATTGAATTATACATAATTTTTTTTTTTTTTTTTGAGTGATAATTATTTTTAAATTTTATGTTTTAACTTAAATATCTGTAATTTTACATTCCGTTTGATGTTAGCATGAAAAATTGAAATGTAGATACATGTACTGATGAATTGTATTACCATCATGACTGATTATGCATTAACGGCACCCATGACAATGCATTTTTATATCAAGCTAGTTGGGCAACAATATATTCAGCAGATTATTCTTATATTCAATAATAAACGTAATTGATACATCTTGATAAATTATGTAACGTAGCATCATTGAATCGAGAAACATTTCACACACTTGTACAGTCTTATAACATTTACAAATTCGGTAAAGAAACAATAATTTTTTTTTGAAAACATTGTTCTCAATTTCATACATAATATTATTATTATTATATGAATGTACTCTATGATGATTGATGATATTAATTATAAAAAAAATTTAAATGTTGGTAGGTTATGTATATGGTATACAATAATTATATATTATTCAATACAATATGAAACGTGTAATACACAAAATATATTATATAGGTATTATATAACAAATAATGTAACACAATTATTTTTAAAAACGCTCTTGAATTATAAACTTATATTACCACCATGCAATAAATCAATAATAATAATAATGAATAATAACAATAAAATTATAAAATTTTTAAAAAACTGCACATTATTGTGACTATAGACTTATTAACAATTGTTTATTAATAGGTGTATGACAGTGATACAAGAATAAAGTAAACAGGTCTCTACATTTATTAAAAATTGTATTCGGTTGGTTAAAATAAAATTTTTTGCGACAAACATTATATTATTTCAATATAATAATAGATATTATATGTATTTCCGTTATAAAATCAATTACTTTCGAGTTCCACTTTTTTAACATAATGGAGTGCCACCCGACAAATTAAATTAGTAAGTCTCTAAGCCAGGTAAATTTAAGACTTCACTCCATTGGGTTATCAGGAATTGTGCGGGACGATGGTGGATTCATTTGCTGGTTTTGATGAATTTAATGATAAGTAGTATGATTTGTTTCACTAAGTTAGAATTTGTAAGTTATTGTGCAGACTATTATTCTTGACAAACCAAGAATTAGAGGCCAGAAACCTTTACATGGTTTCCTAAGACAAATCGACAGGAAGTTCTCAACCGTTCTTAGACTGGAAACTATGGTAGAGTACTAAAGTCCCATATCTGAATGTCGAAGATTATGGTATTCTGATAATATATTAATACATTTGAGCTTATATCTGGTAAATACTTGGATCGAAGAAGTGGGCGAGACAGGTTTGGAGTTGACTGATTTCTTAGATTTTAACTCGAGTTAACAATCTGTCAAACGACCTACCCAAGTATATGTTTTTCAGGGTGGTGGGAATTAAGATATTATTAAACGAGACAGGAGAGAGGGGAATTACTCGGGCCTTGATGAAAATGTGATAAAGTTTATATAATTTTAATTTAGAAAATTAGATCGGTTTGACTGTGAAAATATATTTAAATGTTAATATTAAATGTTAGCTGTGTAATAAAATATATTTCATTTTTAAAAACTATAAAACATTTTAACCGCATTAGCTGAAATATATAGTTCAAATTTATTATACTCAATAATATAATAAAGCAAATTTATAAGTCGGAACCATTTGAAAATGCCATAAATATATGAATTGAATAGGTACACAAAATGATAATGTATTGGTTTCCAATGAAAGTATCTAAAAAACAATATAATATAATTGAATATTATATGTAATTGTATAGACTTCTGTTTGGTAGTAGACGATTTAAGATTTAATTAGTTTGTAAATCCATTAAATAATTATAGTATATCAATAAACTAGTTAAAACCTAAGTACAAGTATTTAAAAACTAAAACAATAAATCCAAATAAATCTAAAGGAACTTATTCCTGATGGAATTGTATTCAATGAAATGTGATTAATTCGGTTTCATGAAAATAATTAGATTCTTTACAGATATTATCGAGTTGGAATTATTTAATTTATGTCCTTTACAATTTTATAGTAAGCAAGTCATGCTTGAACTAACAGCGTCTCTGTATAAAGTATAATCGTTTTTTTTATTAAAAATGCTTGTATACGTTGTATGCTTGTGTATTATTTCTATAATTCGTATTTTATTGTCGCAAGATTCATCATCAACCCTACTGTTTGTATAAATATATTCTATTAAGTATATATTATGTATTTGTTTATTTTATGACAAGCGGGCCTCATGAGTATAATATACTATATGAACACAAACTTATTCATTCTCAGGTCATAATTCATAATTATTTTTGTTTTCTTTTATAGGTATATAACACATTTATTTTAATGTTTCATTTATGGTTCATTACATTTTCGTGTTTTCGTAGTTTCACACATAAACTTTTTAGTTTTAACCAGCAAGTCAAATAAATAATAAAAATAAAACACTTATAATACGTTTATAATAGTTTATTATTTTTCTAACAACTGGCCAGGTTATATTTGCTGCCAATCAACCAACAAAAACATATCAGATGTGAATTAAAACTGGTAATAAATATTACGGATAGAGTATTTGTAGTGGGTTCATAAAAAAAATATACTACTACTGGAACAGTGCAGCACGTACCTATCCCTAAGTAGCGTAAACAAGTTACTCGGCAATTTAAATATATTATATTTGTAAGAAACCATTTGAGAAACAGAGCAAGAGCAGTGTTTTTAACAGATGTAAAAATATGAATTTCATGTACACATTCACTTTACTGGGATTGCGCGCGTGTTTTCTTTACTGGGAACCGAAGTGGTATTAAAAATATATACTGTCGGCTTTGACCATTAAACTTGGTAATAAAATGTATGTAACTTACCCAGACGAAGATTTGTACCGAAGGAAAATGTCTAATACGCACATAACAATGATATACCTACGGGAAAAAAGAGGAATAGTAATTTCTGGAATTACACACTCGTCTCGCTCGCTGGTGGAGGCCCGGATTCGGCGTGGCATCGTGAGGGTTTTATGCAAGACGATCACATCGCGAGAGGATAGCAAGATATTTTTTAAAATTTTTATTTCCTCTAATATTATTTTCCATAATAACTGATTGATCAATAACTTACAATAAAAAGCATAATATTATGCTATACTGTTCCGCCGAATAAATTAATTGGAACTTCGTAATGTCATCAACTCGGTCAATACATATTATAATATAACCGATAATATTATAATTCATTCAATATAAATATGTTGACTTATTATTTCCAATCAATTGCGCATCACACAAATGCATCTTTTACAGGTCGTTTGTTCGATCAATTGTTTCTTACATACAAGGTCTAAAACTATAAAAGTAAAATCCATTTAAATAGAGCGTTATTGATTTTTCGAGGGGTCTGAGGTATAGAATTAAAATTAATACCCGTCGACGTCAACAACGACGAGTGAGAGCAGAGAAATTTCAGAATTTTTGTTTTCATTATTTACGCGAAACGAACGTCATCACTTGCCAATGACGTTGATCATATAATATTATAACAACAATAATATTATAATGTATATTCCTGTAATTTGTGTACAGTTATAATTGGCGTATTATCATCCGTACAATACGTGTCCAATAAAGTTATATATTACTCATACTTGGCCGAATCGATTTCGCTTACAGATCGACGATCGGCTATACTATATGCTATATAGTATATATACTATACGCAATCTCGAAAGAGATACTCCAGTGCTCAAGTTTAGGTACAGACATACGGTAATTATTTTGAAAAGTATTTAAATACTCAGCCAAAAAAATATTACGAGTACAAATGGAAATACTTTCAGACGTTTGATTTTAAATATACAGATACATTATCGTATTATATTGTTATATAGTCTTGCTACCTTTTTGCTCTGTCTTTTAAATGTCATAGTTATTTTATTTTATTGTATAACTATAAACTATATTATATGTATAATTAAGTATTAACCACAGTTGATTTACTCGATTGTCCGTACACCACCTGCATTAATATTGTAATATTGTCGAACTATAATTATAGTAGTTGTAAGCTGAAGTTCTTAAAAATAAAAATAAAACATACGGCTGCTCCGCGAAAGTATTTGAATACACTTCACATGTAATATTTTCGAGTGTATAACGCTTTTATTCAAAACACTTTTACTCGAGAGTACCTATACCTGCCTACAACTGTACTGCGGAGCGACTTTTATTAGGCCTACGCCTATATATATATGATGATATTATTTTTAGCATATTTTCTCAAAGCATATTCTACCCGGGCTAGAGAAAATAATATCACAATCAAAAATGGTTCATAGATACGTCACGTGAGCTGATGTAGGTACACACGGCGGTAACACACGACGTCGAGCGGCGTACGGAATAATTGGCGCGCGTGTAAGGAAGGCTGCGGGGGGTCGAACCCCTCTCCCGGCCGACGCCGCCGCCGCCGCCGCGTCACCGGCAATCCGTTCACGAGCTAGTAGGGTCCAGCCACCCAGTCGTCAGTCGATCGTCTCGCTGATACGTCGCGCGGCGTCTCGTTCGCGCTGTCCTCCTGCGTGTTGTTTATATTCGTTTTCTGTCGATTTTTTCCCTCCGCGTGTTTAGTAGTTGACGGCCACAGTGGTCGATTTCTCGCCGTTGGACGGTGTTTTCGGTATTTTTTGTTATTCTTTTCGAATCGGTTAGTTTTATCGACGATTTTTGTTTTTCGATCGCCAGCAAAAAAATTTGCCACAGACATAATACCACAATTTATACGTCGTTCGGATCGCGCAGTCCCGCTGTCGGTGAACGATATTATTATTACCCGGAGTGTTGTTTTGTTTTTTTCGACCACGCATACACGTAGTACTTGCGTCGCGTATGCCATTCATTTAGAAGACAGCGACAGTAGATAACTACGATATTGATACCAATTATTTATTATTTATTTAACAATGAGGACCGTCGTTTACGCGATATTATTGCTGTGTTTTGGCGGCACATTCGCCCAGTCCACAGGTGAGTGTCTAATTTTATATTATAATAATAATAATTTATTATCGTGTCCCGACACTGATTCTCTAACGACGATCGCGTGGTGTGCCAATAAATATAGTTTTGACGATGTCGTTTAATTTTCATCCGTCGCGTTTTTATTGCCCACCACGTATAGGCATTTCCACCGCGATACTCGGACCACCGCTCCATGGGTGTGCATTGGGTCTGCGAAAATCCGTTCAATGTAAGAATTTAGTCGTTTGATAATAATTCGAGTGGAAAAAATTGCTATTTTCGCCTCCGTTGAATGCTCCGAAAATGTCCATGTGGTTCACAGCAATAAGGCATAGCTAATGAAAAATCCCTAACGACAAAAGTTGTTTTTAAGGCATAAGATAAGTTTAAAAAAAACCCTGTAAAAACCGTGTATGTTCTACGGCACACGAAGCATAAAATTTCCCGACGACCGTCGTGTGTATTTTGTAGACATTTTTAAAACTCAAAATCATTAATGTACCTACCCACCTATATATATCGCAGACTTAATGTACATAAATCATTTTATATACACACTAAATGCTAGTAGGCCGTAACAATTATAATCTTGTCAGTTGTCAATACGGGAAAAAATGTACTTTCAACCAAACAGGAAACATAATTATTAGGTAGTCAATGAGAAATTGACCATATTCTTTTCATTTTATTTTCATTGTAACATTAAAATTCATCGCAGGTACATTGTATAATATCATTAAAATATATATATATTTTTACACTTGAGGTTTTTATTTCATCTTACAAGTTACAACATATACGTAGTACCTACGTTGTTGTACCAACTGCAATAATGTTTTTAAAAAAATTTTGGTGGGAATGCAAACGCATAAACACCTGGCCATATTAGGTTTTACGATATACATAATAGTAGTTATCGACACGTGCGTTTGACGTTTTCCCGCGGTTTTCGCTTGTGCTCTATTATTATTATTATTATTATTGTTATAGTGATTATTTATTTTATTTTATTGTAAGTGCGTAGTACCTAGTAAAAGTAAATAAAAAGAATCGTGTGTAGATATCGTAATTTTTATATCCAATAAGGGTACCTATGCTGTTTTAATAAATGTTTACGGTCTATTCCTTATTAGCCATATTATTTACTCCTGAATATAAACTTCTTACATTTATATGCATTTTGATAAAACTCGGAAAACGTAAGACGGTGTAATTCCGCTGATTACGGGAGCGGTGGGTTAGGCAAAACACCCGATGGCTGTCTAATGGAGCAAAACAGCGGAACTCGGGATTTGGCGTGTGCGGCGTGGGTGAAATTGATGGTTCCCTATAATATATTATATATACTACGCAGGTATATACACACCACAAGTATCATATATGCACACGATATATTATTATATTATATACGAGGAGAGGTTAGATTAACGCCTCTCGACTACATACGCGGAATTCAAATTTTATCCTCTACCGCCTCAGATAGTCACATCAGCGGGTGATGAATTGGCGCGGGTATGCCGAAAAGCGTCTCGAAAAATTACTTACAGCACACTCGTTACATCTCATCGAAGTATAATAATAATGCGTTGAAGTGAAAATCACTGCTGAAATGTATTAAGTTGTTCAAACAAAATTCTCTGAAATACCTTATCCGATTAATTAATTCTTTTTTTTAGTACGCATCGCTTAGGCACCAACATACGCCTATCTATACATTTTTAACAATTCGTAACGGACTAATAAAGTGCCAAATATTTTTCATTGGGTAGTAAAATAATTTTAAAATAGGTATAAATGTTCTCGGCTTATGGTCTATATGGTACTGTTATATTAACCTCTTATTTGGCCATAGTTTTTTTCAATATTAATTTATAATATTATGTTTGAACCTTAAGATGCGACATTATAAAGTCTGTTCTCTATTAAATAAATAACTACAACAGGTACTTAGATATTGTAGTACTTAGAGAGTGATTTCGTATTTATCATGCCTTTTTAGCTTTAATTAAATTATAATCTCGTATGCAATTACTCATCACTCATTACTCGGTACCGAGTTTGTAATATTCATTATTTTATAGCCATTAGGTATAAATTTGGGAAAATGTAATTCAATAGATATTATGCATTAGAAATATTACAACAATAATTGTATAACATTAGTAGGTTCCTCATAAAGTATTGATTATTTAAAAGCACTTTCAGTAGAACTTCAATAAGTTTAAACAGTCCTAAATAAATAAGTTTATCAAAATGTTGTTAAATATAAAGTTAAATGCATATATGTATAGGAACGTATATGTGTACCTACTGTTTCTTGGAGTTTAATTGGGAAATTGTTATTAGGGTATCATATGGATCATATGTACCTAATCCATAGCACATGTATATTTTCGAATAGTTCTAGAATATTCATGAAAAAATATGTTTGAGAATATATCGCCATATTGACCGATTATTTAAGTCATATTATCATATATATAAACTATGTATATATAATATGCGCAATTAGCAAATATGTTGAACTTTTTTTTGTCGGATAAAAAATATATGATATGCTATCATACTTTCTTTGGATGATTGTTCATATAAACACTGAGCTAATTATTTACCGAGCCTCAACTATACCAATGACAAATATAAATAGTATTAGTTCAGCATATGACAGAGGACTCGCGTCCCCACTCACTTTACTTATGACTAGGTATTTATGAAATTCCATAATATTATTTTGCTTAACATGCCTTAACATACATCGATTCATCAAATATAATATAATATTATAATATGCATGATAATAATATCCTTTCTGTATATATGGTCGATTTCCAATAGTAAGATATATACCAGGATATGTAGCTTGAAAAGTTTGTCTATTATCGAGTATCGTATCTTTAGGTATATAAATAAAATACACATAATATATATATATGTTTTATATTGTAATCAGAATGGTCGAAATGTTTTTGTCATGAGGTTGGCTAAAGGGGGTGACATACCGAGGAATCGGGGAGTTTTGACACATTTACCATTAACCGTGACCCAGGTATATGCGAACACCTATTTATTTTGTTCTCTTCTTATATCGTAATATATACCTCTATAATATACACACACCCTGCACAGCACAGATCATCGGTAAGTACTTCATCAATCACCGTCTTAACCCGACAACTTCCTCAACCTCATATACTTTCGGCTGCAATATCGACGCGGTGAGGAAAAAATCGCTTGGGAAGTACATCAATAATTAATGTACAGTTTCTTTCTTCAACCTTCCGTCTATTGTCCACCCAGTCGAAATATCTATTTCAGAATCTTTAGTGTGTTTTTCGTGATATTTAATTTTTTTCGTGGGAGGGGGGAGAATATTAAATATCGAATTAAGGTGGCGAGCATTTTTATTATTCTATATACACACACTTAGCCTGTGTTCAGGTATGCCCTGTTCCGTTTACATAATATTCAAATTCCGTTTATACAGTTTTCAATTTTCATTTTTAAATCTATGTCTGTTATTATATCCAAGCGCAAAAAACCATGGATTTGGATACCGAGAAAGATACACAGTTGGAAAAATATTTTTGAATTTTCCAACTACTCGTATATACGTGCAAAGAGTTTAATACTTTATAAAATGATTCAATGTGTACGCCTTATCACGTATTAAACTTAGCTATAGTAGATTTTAATATTAAATTATATTAAAAACCAAGAATGCCAACAAGGATTCAAAATAATTGCTTTTATACCACAACAGTATTCTAAAATATTCCCATAAAGAATAATGATAACTTTCAAATTTCCTCGATTTTTAATTTAATGTTTTGAAATTCACAAAATATTTATATGTATAAATGTAAGTGATTCGTTGACACAATTTTTTTATTTAATAATACTTATGACTCTATTGTTGATAAAAAAAAATGTTAATCGTCGAAATTTGATCAAACATGTATTTTACTGAATGGACGTTGGTTATAATGTTTTAATTCAAGTTTCAAAGAATAATAAAAACAATTATTCTATGTAAAATGCATATTATATAATATATGAACATTTGATACTTTAATACTACCCATATATTTAACAAAGTGTTTTAGTACGACAATGTGATATTTTGACACTTTTGACTATACCAAATGTTTTATTTTGACATGTACCAAACGAAATCTAACGTTAACTATAGCTGTTTTAATAATATTTGAGCGTGTCCCCGGAGGGAGTAAGAATAATATGTACGTTTAAATGCACCTGTGAATAAACCGTCTGTCTATCATACGAAATCAAAATCTTGACGATGGTATAATATTTTATAATATTGAAAATAAAAGAGGTTGAAGTTATTTATTTTTTTCTGATATGCTTAAGACATTACCGAAACCATTAATTTAATGATGAGTTTTCAAAAAATTAAAACCATGTTTGTTGTTTACTTTGAGCTGAGTTATTTTAATTGAAAAATATTTTATTTTATTGTAGATTTTATTAATAATATTACTGATCAGCAATTCAATATTACCATATTGTTAATATATTATAATATTATTAATATAAATATACCGATTAAGAACAGTTTCCATTCAATAAAAAATACTACAAATTAATTGATAGGTAAATTATTTAATATTGTAATTAATAGTTTTGGAAAGTTTATTACATTTTTTTATTTTCATAATATGAAGAATTATCAAGAGACCGGGAATTAGTTATAGAAAGATACATTAATGAGTCATCATTTAAAAAAAAAAAGCGAAAAGAAATTAGGAAATTATGATGGAATTAAAGAAATTTACTATACAATTTAGAACTGAAAAAATCAATAGACGAAGTAGGGTGGATTATATTATGAGCTGAATTTAAACATCCTACCTGTAACGGTACTTGTAATAAATATCGTCATATTCTATGTTGTATGACGAAAAAAAGTTTTTGGGGTGTTGACATGACGTTCTACAAAAAAAATTGTTGGATCTTGCTATTGACCTTGGATTTATTTTTAAATT